GTTCTAGAGCAATGCAGTGTGTGTATTCTAGGCAGCTCCCCACACTTGGCTCTGGGCTTGTCCTGCAAAACCATCTGCAGCCCTCTGTGGTAAGAATGGGGTTGGTGTGGGTCCTCTGCCCACATTTTTGCTGCAAGGGAAAATTCCTCCTCCATCAATCCCAGTATCAGAGACATGGCAGCTGAGGTTGTGTGCCTCTCTCCTCTCCATGCTACCATCCTGGGTTTTCTGCTCCATAGAGACTGCTCACCAGTCTCCTGTTGTACTCCTGTGCTCTCCCACAAATCCTCCCATCAATATTTAGCTGTCTGTTAGTTCTTCTGGTCCTTTTCTGTGGGAAAAATGCACCCTGGGGACCACTAGTCCTCTATCTTGCCCTACCTCTGTCTCCTAGGTCTGTTTTTTTCTCCTTAATATTTTCTGTCTGTGGTTGGTTGAATCCAGGGATGCAGAACCCATGAATACTGAAGATCAAGCATATATTTATCTGTGTGTGTATGTATATATGTGCACACACACATATACACACATGTATACATATACACACAAATTTCTGTTGGAGATATACTTACGATTGAAATTGCTGGTTCTGTGGTTGTATGTCCAGTTATAGTAGCTATTGTTCTAATATGGTTTACCAGTTTATTCTCATACCACTAGTTTGTGAGAGTAGCATTTGCTCCACATTTTTGGCAACACTTGTTATTCTTTTTCATTATCTTGTGGGTTAGTCGTGGTATTTTATTGTAGTTTTATTTTGCATTTTCACTGGAATTTTTTTTAGGGGGCAGCAACTTTACAATGATTCTAAAGGTCATTTGGGGGGAAATGAAAGAGTGATAATGGCCCAGAAAACTTCCAAGAGTAAAGTAATACAACATTTTTTTAACCTTTCATTTATTTGAAAAATATTTATTAAACATGTTTTGGTATATCTGCCAGGCATCAGTCTAGGAATTTGAGGACACAGCAGTGGAAAAGACAGGAAAAATGTCTTGTCCTGCCAGAGCTTTCCCTCTGGTTGTAGCAATCAAGATGTGTGCAGTCTCGCAAGAGTAGACAGGTCAATCGAAAAGGATGCTCCTGAAACATTGCCTAGTGCAGTGATGACAAGAAGTGTCAGTCCATTTGGGCATTCTCTCACAAAGTTTGAGGGCAGCCGCAGAAAGAAGACACAGTGGCCCTGGGAAGCCATTGCCAACTCATCATAACTGGTGCTGGAAATGGAGCCTACTTGGCACACCTTTCCCTCGAGACCAGGTGATAGTTTAGTATGTGATAAACATGACTTCCTAAACACGAGGGAAGGGAGAATGATTTGATTTGAGGTCCTGGGACAACCCAGAGATTTAGTGGGAAAAACGAAGGTTGAAGGATCCTTAACTCAGACCACAAACAAAAATAAAGAACTGATGTACAAAATTTAAGGGTAAAAGATAAACCTATATATAAAAAGCTAAGAGGAACTGTGCGTGAATATTTAGTCTTGAGATGAGGAAAGACTAGTTTCTAAGCTTAGAAAAGTAATGGAAGAAATTGCAAAGGAGAAAAAAATCTGTAGACTCAATTATATAAAACTATCAAACTGGAAAAATATTTGCAACAAATATGATAGACAAAGTTGGGAAAAGGGCATGTTTGGACACTGTTGGTGGGAGAGTAAATTGGTACAATCTTTTCTGGAGAGTAGTGTGATAATAAGTACCAAGAGCCTTAAAGTTCTTCTCCTTTGACTTAACAATTTCTCGTCCGGGAGTCTAGCTTTAGAAAATTGTCAGGAATTTGGACAAATGTTATATACAAAGCTGGCTTCCTTAGCTTTATTGAAAAATACCAAAAAACTGGAAATAATCTAAATGTCTACTGGTAGGAGAAAAATTAAATTGTATTTTAAAATAAATTAATTATTCACCGTCTTAAGCAAACATAGATATAACTCTAAATCATAAAATTGCTATAATTAGTAGTGTCATTTCCTTTATGTTTGTGGCTTGTTTTCCGTCAGTGAGGAAAATTAAAATATAATTCGTTCTTCTACACATCCGAAAAGCCATATTAAATGCTAACTGAAGAATAGTAGGATTATTGGGCCATCTTTGAGCCTTTCTCTTGTACTGTGATAAAAAATGCTGATTTAAAAAACAATACTTTTTGATAATAGCCATTCTAACTGGGGTGAGATGATATCTCATTGTGGTTTTGATTTACATTTTCCTGATTAGTGATGTTGAGCGTTTTTTCATATACCTGTTGGCCATTTGTATATCTTCTTTTGAGAAATGTCTTTTTAGGTCATTTGCCCACTTTTAAACTGGATTGTTTGTGGGTTCTTTTGCTGTTGAGTTGTTTAAGTTCCTTGTATATTCTGGATATTAATTCCTCATCAGAGGAATAGTTTGCAAATATTTTTTTCTCATTCTGTCAGTTTCCTCTTTGCTCTGGTGATTGTTTCCTTTTCTCTGCAGAAGCTTTTAAGTTTGATGTAATCGTCTTTGTCTATTTTTGCTTTTGTTGCCTGTGCTTTAGAAATGGCTATTATTAAAAAGACAAAAAATAACAAATGCTGGTGAGAATGTGGAGAAAAGGGAACCCTTATACACTGTTGGAGGGAATGTAAATTAGTGTAGCCATTATGGAAAACAGTGTGGAGGTTCCTCAGAAAACTAAAAATAGAACTACCATGTGATCCAGCAATCCCACTGCAGGGCATTTATCCAAGGGAAAGGAAATGAGCATAACGAAGAGATATCTGTACTCCCATGTTTTTTTTTTTTTTTTAAATACATCCCTATGTTTATTGCAGCATTATCCATAATAGCCAAGATATGGAATCAACCTAGGTGTCTGTCAACAGGTGAATGGATAAAGAAGATGTGGTATATATATATACACACAATGGAATACTATTCAGCCATAAAAAAGAATGAAATCCTATCATTTGCAGCAACATGGATGAGCCTGGAAGACATTATATTATGTGAAATAAGTCAGGCATAGAAAAATAAATACTATATGTTCTTACTTATATGTGGGAGCTAAAAAAAAAGTTGAGTTTATAGAAGTAGAGAGTAGAATTGTGGTTAAGAGGCTGGGAAGAGGAGTGGGGAGGAGGACAGGTAGAGATTGGTTAATGGAAACAAAATTACCACTAGATAGGAAAACTTTCTAGTGGTCTACAGTTGTGCTAGGCATCTGTTATTAGCCGTAATTTATTGTATGTTCTCAAATGGCTAGAAGAGAGGAGCCCAAATGCTCTCATCACAAAGAAGTGATAAATATTTGAGATTACCAATACACTAATTACCTCGATTTGATCATCACACATTGTATACAAGTATTGAAATATAATTCTGTACCCCATAAATATGTACAATCAATACATGTTAATTAAAAATAATTTTTAAAAAGATGCTGTATATAGGAGTACAGTAGGTTGTATTCATATTCACTAAATATTTTGGGTTTTTTGTTGTGGTTCCCCTGTATATGGAAAGATTTAGATCCTTGGCATCTTAAAGTAATACATGGCCATGTTACCAACTTTGGCCAATACAAGGTGGGAAATGTGTCATTTTCAAGGCAGAAGTTATAGGGGCCATCACATAGATTGCCATATGTATTTTCCTCTGCCATAAAAACTGTTTATGTCCCAGATGGGTGGTACTTCTTCAGCTGTGTAATGGAATGAAGATGATATGGGACAGCATTATAATCCACTCATAATGGAGGGGTAGCGCGAGTAAGAATAAAACCTTATCTTAAGTAACTGCTATTGGGAGGTTACTTGTAACCACAGAATGATCTAGCCTATTCTGCCTGATACAGGGAGCAACCTAAGGAACAGTCAGACAATGTGGAAATATTTAATAAAATAGTACTTCCTTTTGTGGATAAAAAAATAAAGTATATGGGAGAATGTGTGTAGGTTACATGTAAATCCTACACCATTTTATATAAAAAACTTGAGCATCCTATTGGGTCCTGGAGCCAATCCCCTGCAGATACCAATGGATGACTGTACTAGTTTCCTAATTGTATTTCAATGTTTTATTTGGGTGTGTGATTACTAAGCTTGTGTCTTATTATAAAGCTGTTACCTCTTTACAGAATTTAAGTCTGAAGATACAAAGAGAGAATAGCCTTGTGTAACAGAGGATTCTCTTTTTTATGCTCCTTCCTATGATCGCAGTAAAAAAAGAATTCAAGTTCTCTCTAGATTTTTTGATAAACATTTTTTGCTTGCATTTAAACTTGAAATATATGAGCAGAATGAGATGATCAGTTAAAATCAGAAATGAGAAGTATTATAAATTAATGGCCTCGTTTTGCTGTAGCAATAAAACTACCAAACATAATGACTTGAAAAAAGAAAAAAAAGATTAGGGGATAACCAAAGTCAGGAATCTGACTCCCTTTAAATGGACCTCAAAATGTTTTTGTTAGTTTATAAATGATAAGAACAAACATTTGCATGAGACTGAGACCAAAAAAAAGACATTACTATAGAACATTTATAAAATGCTTATTGTGTGTAAGGCATTGTGCTTATTACATGATAATCTCACTTATTTCTAGCATCCATCTTATGAAGCAGGTAATGTTGTTATATCCATTTTACAGATGAGGAACCAGTGGCCTAGGAGCTTTAGTTATTTACCCAAGGCCATTCAGATGATAAGAGGCATGGCTCAGACCTGAGGGACTCCAAAGCCTGTTACTGGATATCTAAGCAAGGGCTTAGTCTGCATTTGAATTAACGTGTAGAAATAACAAATGACTTTTTTTTTAAAACCATTTTAATCAGGCTAAACTCTTGCGTTCCAGAAGGAGGGGAGACGCTGTCCTTGCACCTCACTTCCCTGTGCGCCCCGTTCACTACGATGCCAGTGTGGTTCTTGTCACCTAACTAGGCCTGTTCTTGTAGCCCCACTCTCCTCACCTCCCCAACCTCCAAATCACTGTTTTATCATCAGGATCAAGAGGTCCCCTCCTGCTCCATAATGATCCCACATGATGCCCATGTTTCTCAGCATTTCAGCCTTTGGGACCCCATGGATCAGGGAATAGCAAATTCTCTCATCCTGGCTGTAATGCATACCACTAAAGGCAAGACCTGGGAGAACACTGTGAAGAATCATTGCACAACACCTGATTCTTCTTGACCTGTCGGGCCTTAAAAACTAATGCCACCTTAAGTGACATTACAAGTGGCGCCATTATGGGCACACAAGGGCGTATTAACATGGCAGCCTAAGACGGCGCCGGGAGTAAGTAGGGTGGGAGTGTCTGCGGGAACCTTGCCTTAGCCCTTATTGGCCAAATATGCACTTCCGCGCTAGTGAACACTGCATGATTGCAATAGCTAGGCATTGAGACAGGATGCATGCTCTCGTAACCTTTAAGCTGATTGGAGGATGTAAAAAATCTCCCTTCCCTATTTGTCTTTAAAAGCAAGTGCTTGTGTGGTAATAAACGGCACTGCTCGACAGAACCCCCGCCGCATCTGAGTGTCCTTTAACCGGCTGGTTGGGGCCGGCGGCTGTGCTCACCTCTCTTCACGGCTCTCTTCCTCCATCTCCTCTCAACGGGGACTGGGGAAAGAGGAATCTGGGCAATTCGCCTGCCCACCAGAAGGGACACCAAGGGAGAGACTGATAGCAAGGCAAGGGCTGTTCAGGTCAGCCGGTGGCGGACCCGACATTAACCATTTCTGTATGATAATGCTCTAGAATGAAGAGTACACTGAATATAGTAGCATTTAATACCTGCTTCCATAAAATCCCCCAAGAAGCCACACAGTTAATAGTTTGCTTTTCAGCTTGGCTTATTTATCGTCCTTTCTTGTATCATCAGTACTCTTCAAGCAGGAATAGGGGCAAAAGAACTAGATTGTTTTTCTCCATGACTTCATAATTAATTCTACATTTAAAAAAAGCTGTATGTCTGTGCTAAAGAACAGGACATAGTCTGTCTTTCCAAATTTCCGTAAACCAGGTTTTCTCAAGCTGAGCTGTTCACATTTTGTGCTGGCTGACTCTCTGTGGTAGGGGCCGTCCTGTGCATTGTAGAGTGTTTAGCAGCATCCCTGGCCTTTGCTCACTAGTACCCTCATCTCAAGTTATGGCAATCAAAATTGTCGTCAGACATTGCCAGATGTCGTTTATGGGGAGAAATTGCCCTCAGTTGAGAACCACTGGTATAAACATAAAACTTGACAATCTTAATGTGTTTTTCTTTTTTCTTTGAATGATAGGAGGTAACTGTCATTGTGAAGAGCACATTATCATATCTGATATTTTATCCTCTTAATATTTTCAGCTTTTTTAGATATTGATCTCATGATTACATACTTTTGAGAATCAAATATATAAACTATCATTTCATTCTCTTTCTTTTTTCCAGTATGCAAGCATTGAAAAAAACGGTGAATTTTTCATGTCTCCCAATGACTTTGTCACTCGATATTTGAACATTTTTGGAGAAAGGCAGCCTAATCCAAAGACTGTGGAACTTTTAAGTGGCGTGGTGGATCAGACTAAAGATGGGTATGTTTATTTTAAATTATGTTGTTCAATTTTTTTTGTTCAGAACAGCTTTCTTTTGCTTTTATGATCCAGAAGTCATTAAATATAATACCTCCCCATCTCTGAAGAGCACTTCTTCTATCTCTTACTATTAATATATTATTTTAGAAATAATTTTCTTAGCATTTCCTTCAATGGTCATTTCACAGTTGGGGATTCTCTTTATATTTTTTGACTAGTTTAAAGAACTCTTTATAGTTTCACAGAACTATTATAATCAATGAGGTGATATGAAGATGTACCAGAGTGTTGGCATGTATGTTTGTATTTTTCAAGGAAGCTGTAAAATTGTGAGTAAATGTAAAACATAGCTCTATGAATGTAACTTTTCTATAATCTTTCCCTTTGCTCAAATCATCTTTAAAATAGCATATGATTAAATGGTACAGATCTAGCAGACAGAATAATATGGTGATTCCAAATATCTAAGAAAGGTGTCTGCAAAAGTTGGAGGAAAGAACTTGTTCCATATAGAATTAAATAGGACACTTTGCAAAATGCCTTTGGTTTTGTTTTTCCTACCAGTCTTCCCTGCTTACATTTTAAAAATGAGTTTTTCTTAAGCTGTATAAGATTATAGTTGGCTTTCACCATTAAGCACAGAATTTTGGGTTCCAAACTCTTAATAATTTAAGAACCAATGCCCCTTAATAAAGTATAGTCTACGAGAACTAGTCTTCTCTATGTAAACTCTAGTGGACCTGGCCTTCTGTCCTAGCTGCATGCCAGCTCCCCTTTTGACAGATTGCAGTTACTTTCCATTGTGGGCTAGAGTTCTCTAGCTCTGAGCTTCTTCCATTTGTTAGAATTGTCATGTGTCTGATGTTCCCACATGCAGTGGTTTAAGATACAACTAATGTAAAATCTCTTGATGTATCTCAGATGTTCTCACTTTTCACCAGCACTTCCCCCCCCCTTTTTTTTTTTACTTATGCACCTGTTATACCATTTTTCATGGAAATAACTTCCTGTAAAATGAAGGCCTTTAAGACTGAGAGAGAGCATGAAGGGAATTAGCAGATATGCTGCTGCAGTACCCTGGAGGATTGCTGGATTATACCTTCTCTCTTTGTTCAAGTGGCAACATTTTTTTTCTTTTAAGCCCTGGCACTTCTGTTTTCTACCTCCATCCCAAGGTGGGATTCTTTGCTTGGTAGGAAAATGTATGAGCAGGCCTTTATTTCCTCACAGGAGCTCTCTAGGATGGTGAAGGGAGAGGCTGGGGTGTATTTCACACTAGTCCATTGAAGCAAAACCTACGCAGAACATAGATTTATTCTATGTTCAATATTTTTCTGTGGAAAATTTGGTTGTTTCTATGCCCTCTGTAACAACTCATGGTTCAAAGGAAGTGTGACTAAGCTCACATGCAGCATGAATTATCTGACTCAGTGTTTGGGATCAATTTTTTTTCTAATTTGATAGTTTAAAAAAATTTGAACTACAGAAGAGTTGAAAGAATACAGTGAACACACAATCTATACCCTTACCTAGATTGACTAATTGTTAACATTTTTACCATCTTAGTGCTCTCTTCATACACACACATAATTTTACCTTTTGGTTGGATCATTTAAGTGTAATTTGCAGACATCACAATATTTCAGCATTTATTTTCCAGCACTAGGAACATTCTCCTATGTAACCACCATACCATTATCATACTTAGGAGGATTAATAATCATGTCAAATATCATCTAATATCCAGTCCATATTCAAATATACTAGATCTTCCCACCGACCCACACTTCAAATAGCTCATTACTTTTTCTTGTTTCTTCCTTTTTTCTTTGTTTTTTGGTCCAGTATCCAGTCGGGGTTCTTGTACTACATTTAGTTTATCTTGTCTCTTTTAATGCAGAACAGGCCCTCGAATTTTCTAGTTTTTTGTGATAATTGACTTTTAAAATCCAGGCTAGTAATTTTGTTGAAGGTCCTGCATTCTGGACGTGTCTGGTGGTTTCCTCATCATTAAATTCAGAGTAAATTTTTGGATGCAGGTTAGTCGATATCCCGTACTACCTATTGTGTCTCCCCGGGAGGCATGTTACCCCAACACCGATGATGCTAGCTTTGATCACTTAGTGAAGGTGTGTCCACCAGATATTTCCATTGTGGAGAGTCCATCCTTTTTTTTTTTTTTCATTTTGTGATTAGTAGATAATCTGTAGGGTAATACTTAGAGTTCACATGGATATCCTGTTCCCCAGCAACCTTTCACCCTATGGTTGTAGCATCCATGATGATCCTTTCCTGACTCAGTTATTATATTGGTATTCGAAAAGTGGTGATTTTTCTATCATTTCTCCTATATTTACTGTTCAGTATTTTTTGGTAAAGGAAAGCTTCCTTCTCTTCACCCCTTTCCCTTCTTTCTTAATCTTTTATATCAATATAAATTTGTGGTTTTATTAATTTTTAATTTAATGTGTTATAATCCAGCACCGTTATTCTCTTAGATGCTCAAATTGTCCCAGTCTGGTACCGTTGAGTGTTGCTTGCTCTTGGCAAATAAGATGTTCCAGGCTCTCCTTGGAGTGTTCCTGCCTTTCACCTGGAAAGCCCTCATTCCTTTTAGTTGGAGATGGTGCTCAGAAGCAAAGAGTTAGTCACTGGCTTATTGTTATGAGGGTGTCACTGTGTTTCTCCGATTTTTCAGTGAAGAGCTTGGTAATATACTTTTAAAAAATTTGAAAGTATGCAATGATGTTTCCTGTTTAAATTTAACATTACAGGATATTTCTTTGTTTTTAAACTTGTGTATCTCTTTCTCTCTTCAATGAAAATTTTCATTTCTATATACATTAATATATTTATGGGCATTAATTTTATGTAATTGGAATGTCTGCTGATGTATTTTGTCTTCTATCCCCCGTCTGATTAATACACATGCCTCTCCTTTTTTAAAAACATATAATTTCAAAAAATAAAGCCTTTAAATTTATTAGATGCGAACAATGTAGCATACGTTTTAAATATATAACATGAAATATAGGTTTTTTCAAAAGCATGTAAAAAATTTGAAAGATTGGCTTTGTTTTCCTGGTTTTGCAGAGGAAATAAGGGAGGCCCTTGGTATTCAAGCAATTTGCTGCAAAAAGGTGCCCAGGGCTATTTGGCTCCAAACTTCTTGGCCTTTCACATTTTCTGGGCTTCCCCTTCTCATAATCCTTCAGTCCTCTTTAGCCTGACATTTCTTTTAGATTTTGCATTATCTTAAATCTCAGTGTTTTACTGTGACAGGAAAAATATTAGATGGCCTTGATCCTTTGCCCTATAACTAACTTTTTTTTTAGTTGCAAAAACAGTAAACATCTCAGTTTTAAAAGGGAAAACAACCACCCATAGTTTTCTCACCTTGACACAAATATTTAGAATTTGAGTATCTTTCATGATTTGTTAACCCACATAGATATTTTTTCATAACTTGAATTCATTTGAATTGTAATACTTCTATAATCGTTTAGAATATATTTCATCTCTCCATATGTTGTTCATATTAAGTGTTTAAATAGCTTCATTTTCTCTCAAGTTGATGTGCCATACTTTATGAATTCATGCCCTTATAGAATTATTTCAGGCTCCAGTTTTCTGCTATATGTAATATTGGACCAAGAATCTTCATGCATATGACATTTTCCCCTTCTGCTTAATTACCTCCTTAGAAAGAATGTAGGAGAGGGATTCCTGGGTCTAAAAGCAGAAATATGGGATGGCCCACCATATGTGTTACAGTAATGCTTTCCAAAGTGACTGCACAAGTTGATGAACTCACACAAGGTATTTAAGCTTACTGAGTTTAGTAGTCCATTTTTGTGTTGCTATGACTGAATACCTGAGACCAGACAATTTACACAGAAAAGATTATTTGGCTCATGATTCTGGGACAGCTGCATTTGGAGCAGGTTTTAGGCTGCTTCTACTCATGGCAGTCTCTGTTTATAGTCTCCCTGCCTATGTTTGCAAAGAAATCACGTGGCGACAGAGGAAGCAAGAGATGGAAGGGGAGGTGCCAGGCTCTTTTTAATGACCTGCTCAAACTAATACACTCTCCAGGGAGGGTATTAGTTTATTAATGAGGGCTCTGGCCCATGACCCAAACACCTCCCATTAGGCCTCACCTCTTAAAGGTTCTGCTTCCCAACACTGCCACATTAGAGATCAGATTCCACCATGAGTTTTGGTGGGGGCACACATATTCAAATTGTGTCAGTGAGCTACTAGCATACCATGGGGCCAGCATTTGAGCCTAGCCCTGCCCCAGACCTGAGGCCCCCGAAGCTGTGCATGCGCCATTTTCCCTAACCCTAGCCCTGACACACAGCTCCTCAGTGCTTACTTCACGGATAGGTATATGCATACACCTGTTCCTAATGCAGACTGTGAATGCCTTCATTTCCTCTTCCTTTCGCTTTCTTTGGACCCATAGCATTTGTCAAGGTCACAAGTCATCTTCCCAAATCAACTACTGTTTCTTGAAAGAATAACATGACAGAAGCCACATGTCAGCCCTGGAAGCACAAACATGCACAACAACAGGAAGTTCTGGCTTGGCTCCCTTAGTCTGGCCAGGCTCTTTTGGGATGTAATCACCTAGCTTGACTGGACAGAGGGATTTTATTACATAACCTGATTACAATTTGAAAAACTACTTGTAGATTGATAACTTCAGTATTTAAAAATAACGTCAGCCATGTTGATTCAGGTGTCACAGTGAATTGAAATACTCATTTTTAGGCAGTTTCTGGCCCATTACCTGTGGTTCCTTGAGGGGAAGAACCAGCTTCTGTGTATTTTATTCTCTCCAGTCCAATCTAGTCCCCATCTAGTGTCTGGTGTTGTTCATATCAATTTGTTTACTACATTTTTTTTTCCTTTTTGTCTTTTTTCGTGTCCAGCAACGGATCGCAACCCTCAGTGTAGCGCCCATACCGGACCAGGACCGGCAACGGGATCGCAAC